TGAGGGGTCAGAGTGGTCTGGGATGGGGGTTCCGAGGGAGGAACTGGCTGCCAGGAGGACTGGGGGAGTCTGGGGGTGAGACCACCAAGGGGGAGTTGGCTACTGGGGGACCAAGGGGACTGGAGAGACTGAGATCGAGGGGCAGGTACTGTGCAGGCGGTTTGAGCCCAGCTGCTGGAGGGAGCCGCGCTGTACGTGTCTGTGTGTACATGTATATGCTCAACAGCACATCTCTGCCCTGCTCAGCCAGACTGGGGGTGGGATGGGGCTGCTGGTGCTGCCTCTGTTCATGTGAGTGCTCTGTGTGCGTGGCTTTGTAATCTATGTGGCTGTTCATGTATATATGTATATATGTGTGTTTGGGTGTGCCTGCTGGGAATACAAGCTCAGCCTGGCTACTGTTTGGAGCTGAGGACATGAACCTGCAGCAGTCTTACCTCTCTCAGGCGGCCGATCTGGCCTGATTTTCCCATATCACTAGATATGTATATTTGTATACATATATGATATACATATCATATACAGATAGACAGGTATATCTCATAAGGGCTTCTATATAGCACAGTATTTCTACCCACAGAATTGAGATAAGAGAGTTTAAAGCAGATAGGCAACAGCTTTCTCCCAAGGCATTTATATCAAAAACTAAACAACAGTTACACGTTTCTCGCACCCCACCAGTAAGCACATCTATACTGCAGCAGGGGGTCCGGTTACAGTATTGATTGTCATTCCTGAGATACCTTGAATCAAATTAGCACAGGTAAGGGCATCAGCAGAGATCTGCAAGTTTTGCTGTTTTTGCTGAGAGTCTGGTTCTGGATGCAGCTGGGCTAGTACAGCGCTGTGCTGCAGGTACAAGGATGAAATCGTGTTTCCCATCGCCTTTGCTCTTCTTCTCCCTTCTCTCCACCATGTACGCATTTTCAGGGATCATGAATTATGTTCATTCTGTGCACCTTGTGATACCCTGCCCTAAAAGGCCACCACAGATGACACCTTTTTGCAGTACAGGCATCACCTGCAAGCAAGGATTTGCAAAACTCAGGGGGCCTGTGTTACGTGAGGCTGCCCAGGGCAGGCTGTTTGGGTCTGTGTGATCACCAACCAACACATGAAAGCACTAAAAAGTGCTACCAGAGTCCAGACTGTCTGGAAATATAGAGGCTGACATCAGGTGCTGGCAAATTAAGACAGAAGGTGGCTTCTTCTGACAACAGCTCCTTCTGAAGCCCTAAGTATTTTAGTCATCTGAGTTAAATCAGCTGAAGGGAGTTTACTCCTAAATCAGTAATACAGAATTTTGAGAATAATTTTTTACTTCATATAAAAGTGAGACAGCATGTTTTTAAACACAGTCTAAAAACACGACAACATTGAAGGCTAAAGAGTGACCCTAAACTGGGGAGTGAGGAGTGGAAGTGAATGGGGTAAACAGATGAGCAATCGTGTTGTGATTGGGTGAAATTTGGGGTTAGGTGTATCACCACTGGCCCCTGTTTTCCCCAGTGCAATGGAATGACAGAAAATGGTATCACGATAATACAGCCCTTTCTAAAAAAGGCCACGGAGCCAGACTGCTAACCTTATTTAGCACTACTGAATTACGACTGGCACCAGCAAGCCTTGGTTGTCACCTACTGACATTTTGTTCAGCCCTGAAAATGAAAACACAGTTGCCTGCACTGTTTCAAACTACGAGAGTCACTGGGGACTCACAGATAGGGAAACAGAAAGATAAGGCAAAGCAACAAGTTCATTGTGACTTAGGATCTCAGAGCGGCCACTGCCACAGCCAAAAGTTGTTGTTTTGTGTTTCTGAGGTGGTGAAAAGTGGTCACATACAGCAGCAGCAGGGTCACAAGAAGTGTCTTTGCAACCAGATAGGGTGAGCACCCACCAGGGAGAAGTAGCGCCCTGTCTACACCCCTGAACCTCACTGACGTGTAGTAGTACACGTATTTCTGTACTCACCATGAGTATGAAATGCCCACCATGAAATGCTTTAATGGGTCCATGCTGATAGTAAAACATGACTGCTCTCCTTTGTGACTACCCTCAAGTTTGGCTGAGGAAGGGTGATGGTGGGAGCTTCAACCTTCAGGCTTCCTCCCAGTGGCTGGGGGGACCTTTCCACCATGTGGTGGTGGGGCTGGAGCTGGGGAGTTTTCTGGGTGTCCCTGGGAGGTGGCCAGGCAGAGCTGCCAGGCTGCTTGGCTCTGGGCCATTCCCACTCTCTTTCTGCCCACCCCTGCCCAGGCAGATCAGAAACCCACCACTGCTGTCTGCACCAGCTGCTAGAGTTAGTGACAATGGGAGCCAGGGCCACAGCGACTATTACAACAGCAGAAACCACAAACTGGTGTGGACAACAAGGGGAATCAAGCTGTAAAGGGCAAACCTCCGTCGGAGATTGGCAGGGAGCTCTGGGAAGGGTTTTGATCTTTTCCTCTCATGCAAAGGGGCACAGGATATTATTGGTTCTGCCTCTCACATCTTCTCTGTGCAGTATCACCCCAGAAATGACAGTGTTAACAAATACAGCGGAAGAGACAGCCCTGTAAGCTGAGCTACACAGTCATGTGCACAGGTTTTATTTTTAACATCCCAAAACTACTTGATGTTTCTGTCTGGGCTTGCTCCGTGTCCTCCCATTCTCTTTCTTTGCTTGCAGTTCTCCCTTACCCACCTCACTTCAACCCAGCTGAGCACAACCAGGAGAGCAAGTGTTTGGTACACACACAGGGACTCTATGATTAAGGTAAGGTTTTGTAAATAGAGTTGGAGTCTTCATTGGTCAAACCTTATTCCATGCAAGAGTTACTATATCGAGCTATGAAAATCAAGATGTCTTCAGAACAGCCTTAGTAATTAAGATGAAGTAGAATAATCAGACATAAGATGTCTTAAGTGACACCCTAAAACAGAGGCAGCTGGTAACTATGAAATCTTCTGTGACATGCTACTATAAAACAAACAAACAAACAAACAAAACCCTCCATGCTGGGTCACTGGATTAGCCACAGTTTGCAGCACTGTATCTGGGATTTTAAAAAACTAAGATGCTGATTCTAAGATGGGATCTTCAGCAGCAGGACAGATGATAAATCCAAAATTCAATTTCTGTAATTTTCAAGAAACTCTGAGAGAAGTAAGACAAGGAGATACAGTAAGGGCCAAAGGAGAGGCAAGAGCAATCTTGTGGTAAACATGCTAAGACTTGAAATCTGGTGAGTTTTGTAGATTCAGACTGCAAACTTTATGTTAGTAATCCAGACTGAATGAATGATGATGCAGTAAGAAATACGAGGGTTGCAGGTACTACTGTACAGTTTAGAGTTGTGGCTGCTCAGCAATTTTTATTCAGGAATCTTTTCTCTTTTGTTTTCTATGACTTAGACCTTAACCAATAGCTCTGAAATTCTCTATATGCGGCATCTGCCTTGTGCTGGGTTTCTCTTGTTTTGCTCAAAATCATTCACTTGATTATCTCAAGAAGTTTTCAGAAAAGTATTTTAATGAGATTGTTACTAGGGAATAAGATAGAACCTGAGCCCAAAGGAAAAAAAAAAAACCCAAAACAAAACAAAACAAAACAAAAAAACCAGTTTGGACCATTCACTTTTTTTCTCAAACTGCAGCTACACTGGAACCTGTTATTTTAAAGCATTTGGTGAACTTAAACCAAAAATAAACCCGTTTGGCAGCCATTGATGCAAAGTGAGAGTTTGCCTGACCCTCTACCAAGGACAGCACAGGGACCCCTCAGGCACAGGAGGAGCAGCAGACCAGCTCCAGGCCACAGCCTCCCCCTTCTCCCTGTCCTGCCTGTCTCACACACCACTCCCAAACATGCCCAGCACAACACTCTGCTGCCAGCCCCACCGGCAGCCCAGGGGACCACTTCAGCTCCTGGAATTTTTTGGGTGGGTTTGTCTCAGGTGAGCTTGCACCAGGTAGAGAGGAGCAAGAAATATTGCTGATCCAGGTCTGGCAGCAGGGGAGCACAGTGTGGGGTTTCTGCCTGCAATGCCCTGTGTTACCTGTGCCTCGCTGCTCTGAACTCGCCCCTACTCCTCCCATAACAGCACCAGTGCATTTCACTGGACAGGAACTGCACTAAGAAGTTGGGGTGCCTCTTTACTGCGTGCACGCAGCACAGATTTACCAGGTGAGGGGGAGGCCTGACAGTGTGACAGCTTCTCTTGAGCTCCATGATCCTGCAGGCCAGGTTTAGGGAGAAGCTGATGTGCTGCTGTGGGAAGCTGAGCAGCACATGTGCTCTGAAAGAAAAGCATGGAACATGCCTGACTGATGCACTGTACTGTGAACCCTGTTATTTTAAAGCACTTATTTTTTTTAATATTAATCAATTCCAACCTGTTCAGTAACTCTGAACCAGTGTTTTTTTGCCGTGAAACACCACAGGCTCAGCTAGCTGATCCTCAGCTAGAAGACATAGGGAGAAGCTCCCTAATTGTCACAGCCTCGTCCTTCCATCTTTCGGCTTGTCTAAGAGTTCAGTTTTCTCACAGAAAACCTTTTCACTCCACATGTCTTATACTGGGGATTAGAGGTGCACCAGAAGGATCGCCTTGGAATCAAAGTGCCCCTGTGAAATCTATGTGAACTTGTTCAAGGTCTGAGCCTCAAACTATGTCTTGCGCATGCTCACTAGAAGTTTATTAATGTTATTGATGCAGATTTTGTCTCCACCTTTTATCCTCCCTTTCCACCTACCCTGAGCTGTACCATATTCCCTGCCTGACTCATTTAAAGCTCAGCTGACAACACTTATACGTAAGATCAGTCTGAATGGCAACTGCAGAGCAGGTGTGCCATGAAGGACAGTGACTCGCTGTGCCTAATGACAAGACAGTTGCTCAAGCTGAACCTGTCCCTGTTGTGGGTGTCGAGATGTGGGGCTTGACTCGCTTGAGGGTCACCATGATTCCAAGTGGTGTCACTCTTGGATTTGCTTTTTATTTGCTGTTAAAGGACAGGATTTTAGAAAACTTATGCTCCTGAAAATAAGGTACAAATGTGGTACGGTACGGTTTCCAAAGGCATAGTGTTTTCTTCCTGAGCTCCGAAACCCAAATATATCTGTGGCAAAAGGGGACCCAACCCTGAATTCTTGCTGAGGTTTTTAAGTGCATAGTGGTGGAGGAAGAGTGCTACACAAAAAGAGAAGAAAATCTCTGGTATAAGGAGACTTAGATGCTCTCCTAGAAAGTGTGATTCTATAGCTGAGTCTGACAGAGTTTTTGTGCCGGAGGCATGAAACTGCAAGTGAAACGTCAGAACCTGAGCATCTCCATGCATAGCGTGTATCTTTTGCTTTATTTCTAGAATGTATTGTATTTAATTCTATTTATTTCTTTCTATACTTTTAATTCTACATCTGACCTATAGAAGTAGTAGTATCTTTTAACTTCAAGTGCACCTCTAGTACTGCAAAGATTAATTCATTATCGCCTGTGAACCACTCTTGTACTAAGATAGTAAATATATAGAAAAACCCTGTGAGGAAATTAATAACTCCATATTCACCTCAGGATTTAAGTGTTATTATAAAAATGGTGTAAACACCGCATACTGGGTAACAAGGATTAAAAGAAATAGAGAATATCTGCCCTATACACTTCACCAAAAATATTCACATGAAAATATTTTCCTGTTGTAACATTATAGATAACTAACATTATTGGCTCCAGCATTTGGATGCAAACTTTTCTGAGATTTTTTTAAGAGCTCCTATGTTGTAAATCTCAGAAACATTGTTTTCTGTTCATTTGCAATCTCAGCTCAGAGGCACTCTTTAAGGTAATTATCTGGGGTTTCTAGTGGTCTTTTTTTGATGGTTCTTTAAAATGGGAAGCATCCCTTGATTCCATGCAAAGAGCTCAGATATGATGTATAACCTTAGTGTGTCATATCATCAGTCACATATAGCAAATACCAATAAGAAAACAGTTGTATTGTTTTGGCTCATTGACTGCAACTGAATTCAATACATATATTTACTGAAAATAAATTGAAATTGGTTTTTAAACTGCAAGTTATTGTCACTGAACAGATATGCTCCAGACACAAACTTATCTGCAGTTAAAATAGCAGCTGTATATTTTTAAACCTTACTTGATTTGCTGTCATGACGATCTAAAAATAAAGATTTGCCAAAGTGGACAGACTGCAGACTGTCATTTGCATCCTTTCTTTCCACAGTAGCTTGAACATGTTTCAGGTAAGCGTTTCTGGTTTGATTTTTTTTTTTTCTAACCTAGCTCTTAGGAAATTTTGCAAGTTGCAGGGAAACAAGAAGTATACAGGTTTAGAGAAATGTTTCGTTACCTAACATGTCTATGTGTCACCTGCCTCTGGATGTTACGTATCAAACTTACTGAGGCAAGAATTTGTAAACTTCCTGCTCAGGGTTTTGAAAGTTGTAGTTTGTGTACTTAAAATAATACCATCAACTAAACCACAGAGCTAACTAGATCATCAGTTAAAATACAGAGCTCCTGATTACCATCATGTCAGAATAAAAGAAGCATTCAAACCCTGGTATATATCAGAAAAATTTTCTATCCCTTCTTCCTGTCCTCTAGCTTCACAGATTTAACAATGAGAAGAGAGGCATAGAAATAATTTGACTGAAAAAAATAGCATATATAAGTTAGAGATGAGGTAAACTCCACTGAAAAATACCTGAATAATCACAAAGACTGATTCTGGATCTGAATGCTCTGGTGTGGTCACTTTAGATAAACAAAGCATGTATTTTCTTTCTCTACACGTGATTGGGATGGGGTTTGTTTCAGCATGCAACAGTGTGAAAGCAGGCTTCTCTCCAGAAACTTTGCAATCAGCTCTTCCCGTGTTTTTGGAGAACCATGCAGCCTGTGCCTCAGATGTATTTTTATTTATCAATTATTTCTCTCTGAGAGTTACTTTTGCAGTGGAAAGTATTGTTCACACACTCATGTTTTTACTGCAGTGTAATGTACCCAGCCTTCCTCTGACCTTATGCAAGTCATAGCTGGGACTATTTTTAGAGATTATATTTGCAGCAAAATGCTACAAGAATGAGAGCAGCAAAGATGCTGCCAATGTGAAATAAATCCATCTGTATCTCCTGCTTCTCTGAGCTGCATAAAAGTAGATGGAACTAAACAGCCTAAAGCAGGACAGATGCCGTCTGATGCATGAAAGAGGAGAAGAGAGGGAAAGCAGCTACGTGCAACATCTCTTCCCCTTGACCCTGAGCCTACTTCCTCTGTAGCACAGCTCCCCTCAGGGCTTGGTCACTTAAGCCTAGAGTTTCAAAAGCACTCACATCCAGGCAAATGACACTACTGAATTTTCTTTAACCTTAGAAAAAACCCAAAGTCTAAATTATTTTACTAATAATGTATTTTTTTTTTCCAAGAGCCAAATGAGAGTCTGCAGTTCCTACTGCATGGAAAGTGTAGTGGGAAGATTTGTTTGGAAACAGAATTACAGTTCCTTCTTATTGTTAGCTTTTTCCCTTCCACAAAGATTTGCAGTAGGCTGAACAAAGCTTTTCACAGCAAAGAGCAGAAAGTCCAAGATTGAGAGTCTTCTACTTGCAGCAGCTCTTCTTTGGGCCAGCTGACAGCAGTTGAAGGTATCCAGGGAAGCAGCTCCAGGTGATGACTGAGCAACTTCTAGTTCTCTAATCCAACACCTGTGTATGAGGAGAAAGGACCACAGCAGGTCCCACATGTTTCCCCTCAAAAGTGGCTCTTACAGACATTGTTGAAGGAGACTGCTGGGCTGGGTGGACCACTGGTCTGACCCAAAATGTCATTTCTTATGTTTTGATATTTTTTACAACAGAAGGCATGTCTCATGCTAATCACCATCACCATTTACCATTTACTTGCTATTGGAATCTGGGCTTCTGTTTTCCCCCTTTCTGTGAATTATTGGAAGGACAGAGATATTACGAGCAAGGGGAACTGAGAACTTTGGGAAGCAGGCCTCATAAGTGCATTATTTTTACATTAAAGTGATTGAATTGACTTACTGGGAAAGAATGATAAACACAATAATGAAAGCAAAGCCAGTGGTTCATCGTGACACAAAGCTAGAAATCTGGTAGTGATAACTTTTTATATATAAGGATCTTCATACATCATGTTCTTGTAGTTCTGCTTTTTGTTGTTGGACCTCAGGAAAATTGTATGTCCTTTTTATATCAAAGGTTTTTAAGGGGAGGAGAGGAAAGAATTATATATATTTTGAAACTGCATTAATATGGAAGTGTGAGAATGGAAATGCAGTCTTCTGTAAGAAAACATTTAACCTGTTTATATAATAAAGCTCTTTGAAATTTCTGAAACATATGGTTTGGCAACCACAACTTGTTCTTTTAATCCAGTCTGTGAGTTGCAAAATGTTAAATTCATGGAGCTGCCTGGTGGCAGCTGAGTTTATGAAACAGAGATTGGTATTGTTTATTACTTGTTGCCTGGAACCTCTTTCTCTATTTTCTGGCCCCTTGTGGTGTTACTAACACCCTCCTAAACTGAATCTAAAATATCAGCTCAGGATCACCTATTCAGTTCCAGGTAGTGTTTGACACTGATTTGTTGGAAGTACATAGGGTGAACTCCTCCTTCCTATCTACTTGGCATTCACTGGTGACAGCAAGAGGAAGAAAGGTGAAAGGCAGTTTGTAAAAAAAGTGAAAGAAAATGGATTTAACTGAGTGAGCATAACCTTACAAGAAGCCTCCACTGCACTCTGGAGCTTCTCTCCAAAATGCACACCAAGGCGTCACCTTATCGCAGGCTTTGACACCTGAAAGTAGATGTAGCAAATAACCTGCCTGAAGGAAAGTCCCCCACAGTCTCTGTTCCATGACATGCAGACATCATCTAGGAGTGTAAGGGTGAATCAGAAAATCAGAGTAAAGAAGGCCAGGCAAATTAGCCTTTCTCCAGGCTGTTTTCCACACTGGGAACTGGGGTAATTAAGATAATCCTTGCTCTCAGCCTTGCTGCTATAGAGCAAAGGGAGGTTTGTTTGTGCAACATTAATGTCTTTATTGGGGAGATGACAAGACACATAGGCCAAATGACCAGCTCATTTTTCTAGAGAGGAAAAAGAAACATCTTCTTTCCTACTCAAACAGCATTGAGGAAGCAGGAAGCTCCTTCACTGTGCCTCTGGCAGTCTTGATTTCAGCAGCTTGGTGTGGATAGACCCAGTGTAAATATTGGGACAGAAAACAGCTCACTCCCAAATCCTGCTGGGCTAACAAGTAAGGACCTTATCTATATCCGTGCAGCTGCCAGACCGTGCTGTACTGTGGGGATCAGTGCTGATACGTGACTCTATGGAGCTGGCAGTCATTTGCCCACAGCCTTATTCCCACTAGAGGTGCATGTGAGCACCAAATGTGTAGAAACCAAGAACAGGCATGGAGGGTTTCTGGCCATCCTTGCTCCTTCAGGCAATAACTCTTGTCTTCTTGTCTTTGCTACACACAGCACCGGGCTCAGAAAGCTCCCCCTGGGCAGCACAGGCACTGTGAGAGATGTTTCAATCGGCACTGCCGCGCACCAATTGAGCCTTCCATCTCCTGCATGGTGATCAGCTGCCGTTTTCACTGCGGGGCCACCTTCCACATGTGCAAGGAGGAGGAGCATCAGTTGCTCTGTCCCTTTGAGCAGGTCTCCTGCCTCAACTCAGCCTACGGCTGCCCTTTTTCCATGGCCCGCTTTAAGCTGGCAAAGCACCTCCAGGTCTGTCCAGCCAGTGTTGTCTGCTGCTCGATGGAGTGGAATCGCTGGCCAAACGTGGATTCAGACACGACCCTCCACAAGAACATTATGAAGGAGACCTTGAACGAAGAGTGCCTGGACACAGCCTTAGCACTCAGAGACCAGAAGATACTTTTCAGGACTTTGAAAGTAGCTGACTTGTTTCCAGAGTGGAGGAAAAAAAATGAAGTAGAAGAGCTAATGGATGAAGCTGTGGGTGGGGAAGAAGGTGCTGTGGGAGGAGTAGCCTGTGGTTCCCAAGAAGGTGATGGCCAGTTGTCTGAGCTGAGCCAACGTGAGCGTGAAGATCTGGCAAAGGACAAAGAGGGAATGGATCTGGGAAGTTACAAAACCTGGGAGAACATTTTCAGCAAAGAGCTCCTGGCTTGCCAGGTAACAGGCTCAACAGTCAGTGCAGGACAAAAGACAGAGGAGGCTTCCAAGAAAACAAAGTCAGTCCCTCATGCTGCCAGCTCCACAGAGAAGACAAAGGAAGTACCTAATGGTGCAGAAGAGGCAAAGGACCAAAATCCCAAACAAGTAACACCAAATACAGAAATGACGGGACTGGCTCCCTGGCAAGAAGGAGTCCTGGAGAGGCTGAAGAAGGAAGTTGGTGTGGGTGATTACAACATGTATCTGGTACATCATGGGGGAATGCTGATCCGCTTTGGCCAGCTAGCTGCTTGCACTCCCAAAGAAAAAGACTTTGTCTATGGGAACTTGGAAGCTCAGGAGGTGAAGACTGTCTACACCTTCAAAGTGCCAGTTAGTTACTGTGGCAAAAGAGCACGACTAGGAGATGCACTGGGACACAAGGTACCAACTGCAGACAAGTCAGTGGATACCTCAGAATTGGGAATAAATGTAGAAGAACTACCTAAGGCAAATATAGTTAAAGCCACACTGCTGTGTGCACTGGAAAAGGAGCTGAAAGGCCATGAGATCTCCGAAGCAAGGGGTATCGATGGACTCTTTGTGGATTTTGCAACACAGACATACAACTTTCCTGTGGAGCCCTTCTCCTCCGATGCTGTTCTAGCAGATATTCTGGATGAAAAAAGCTCACCAGAACTCCACGTGGAGCTCTACACTGAATGCGTAACCAGGAGACACAACAAAAGCAGTTCAGCTTTCACATTCACTTGCAGTCATTTCTTCAGGAGGGATGAGTTCCCGTCCCACTTCAAGAATGTGCACACTGATATCCAGTCATGTCTGGATGGATGGTTCCAGCATCGCTGCCCTCTGGCCTACTTGGGATGTACTTTTGTTCAAAATCACTTCCGCCCTGATGGACTTAAGGCCAAGGTCATATACAGCAAGCCTCTCAAGACATTTGCTATTAAGCCAGAGGTGGACACCCTCCTTGCTGAATCAGGGAAGTGCAATCCCACAGTGGCTAAACGAGGGAGAAATAAGGACTCACTGAGCAGCCTCCCAGTGGAATTGCTCAAGTACATTGCGGGGTTCCTGGACAGCTTCAGTTTATCTCAGCTATCGCAAGTGTCAGTGCTGATGAGGGACATCTGTGCCACTCTTCTTCAAGAGAGGGGAATGGTCCTGCTGGTCTGGGAGAAAAAAAGATATTCCCATGGGGGTACTTCGTGGAAAGCTCGGAAAAAGGCAAGTGACTGTGACACTGGGAAAAAGACAGTCAGGGGTTCTCTCCAGATCAAGTATAAACATAGCAAAGGATGGTGTATATAAGATGCAGGTGGGAGGAAGGTTCATGAGGTTGTGAATTTGCACCACAATCGTCAGGGGTCAGAGCTGTAAAATGCAGTACATCTAGCAAAGGTAGGAAGGTGTAAATGGACATCTTCTGACTAGCTGAAAGTCCCCGCTCAAGCTTGTCTTGGGTAACCTGTTTTCGTATGGACCATTTTTAAGCACTGGGAACTGAGAATTCCTGATATTTAAAGGTTACACGTGGCTTCTTTAATAACTTGAAGTTCATACTTTTTTTGTTCTTTACAAGCCAATCTAGGGTATGTCAAAACTAAAATGAGCCTTAGAATGCCAAAAAGATAAAGAACAAAGAGACGTGGCTGTGAAAGGAGCTCAGGCATTCTCATCAACCCTTGAGGGCTTTCATGATCAGTAGTTCACAGGATTGCCATGTCTGACTCGGAGCAGCATGGGGATAGGAAGCCTTCTTCTGCAAAGCTGGTCTCCCACTGTTTGTGCTGGAAAATTACCTCCCTTATTGGCTGTTTAGGTAGTCTGAAAGAAGTCTAAGTCCTAGCTGAACAATAGTCATTACAGGTTTTTCCTAGCTGATAGCCTTGCAGCTGTTCTAACATAAAACTGTTTGAAAGAATAACATGAAAGATTCCAGCATGACCAAGCAGAAAAGACGAAGATCTAGGAACAAGTAATTTAGAGATCCAGGGAAGACTCCCAGAAATTATCTCAGGACTTGGCTTTCAAGCAGCCCCCTGAATATCAACACCTATTGATTCTTATCAAATTGAAGCTTAGCAGTTTATGACTCTCTATTAAGAGAAAGTACTCTTTATTAGAAGAAAACATGAAATGTGGTGACTTCAGAACCTGTGTAACAAAGTTTGATGGCTGCAAGTTGAATTAGCCTAATCCAAAACAGGAATTAGCCACTAAAATAGTATACTGAAAGATGTGGCTTCCTTCTGTTCAAGGAAGAAATTCCAGCTGAGCAATCATATAGCAATAAACTTCAGTTATAGTGCAAATTCAAACCAGCAGCATTGAATTTAAGGACTGTCTAACCCTTGTCATGTAACTCTCTGTACTGACCACCCAGGAATCTTGTTTCCAACACACAGACTCTGCTTGAAAACATTCTGTTTGTAATGAGTCTGAAATTCTTGACTACTGCACATAATAGCTATGATTACTTTGGACCAGGACAGGGTCAGGTAAACTTAAGTGCAGCACACCCACATACTGTCCTTCTGGCACAGGAAGAAACATTTTTAGGGAGAAGAAATCTACTATGACTTGAAAAATTAATTTGATTTAGTGGTATACAACATATATTAAAGTGACTTAATCACACTCTTATCACTACATGCTAGTGTATCACTAAACAGTACATGGTATCACTGTAAACAGAACCAGAAAATGTTAACTGCCCAGTTCTATTTTTTATAAGCGTGTATGTCCGCTAGGAATAACCTGACTGTTAGATTTCCCAGGCTTTTTCTGGGGTGGGGTGAATAACAACAGTGTTGTAATATTTATTACTTACAAGTTGCTGACAGATGCTTTGGAAGGTCTTTAGGAAGTCAGGTTTCTTTGAGATACATATCACACAAGCATGCTGTGGTCACTTTGCTTCATAAGCATCATAAGATCACACTCTACCTATGATGGAGTTTTCTGTAGGGGTGTGTCTTTGTTTTCCTCATGCCCTGCACTAGATAGGCACCGAAAATTGTAGAAGGATACTTTCCCGTTAAAAATGGTAGGTGATGACTAAAGCAGCAAAACCAGCAAGTACCAGGTACATAATAATAAAGACCCCATTTTTCCTTGTTATGCCAGCCCTGCACAATCAGATGTTCACTAGCCTGTCCAGTATGAGTAATGCACACCCTTTATAAGCATATATAGATTTTTAAAATCCTCTTCTATTTTTACCAACATTCCCATTTTCTCTCCCCGTTTTCTCTCCCCTGTCCCATGTTAGATCTGGCAGTTCAGCAGCTTGTTCTCTAGAGTTAACAAATGGCAGCGCAACGACGTCGCGTGCATGTCAGAGCACCTGAAGAATTGTCCCTTCTACCAAGTGGAGCACAAGACGGACCCCGTGCTGCTGACAGGCATGTGCGAATCTCGAGAGCAGACTCAAAAGACTTTGGTTTCTACTTTCAAGAGCAGAGTCTGAACAACCTGTTTCCCCTCCACCATGCCCTTTTCAGGGTGCTTGAAAGGAAGATTGGGAATTTGGGTGTAAAGATTGTTGCTTCCAACTCTCCTTTGGACATACAAAGCTGGCTATGGCCCAGCTGCGTTTGAAACATCTTGCATCTTTTTTTTTTTTCCTGCATTAATTGTTAGAACTTCATCCACTGCTCACTGATATCACATGCTTTCTGTTTATGTTCCCCTTCCGTGCTTAATACAGCATCTTGAAGAAAGCAATAAGGATCTTGTTTGAAAACAGCATCTTCGCAACCCTGAAGGTAGGCTGCTCCTCCCGTACCACGTCCCTGAGAGAAGCAAGAGCAGTTAATGTACCTACCTCATCTAGGTCTGAAACACCTTCATTTTGGCTGGTGTCCTATAAGACTCCTTACCTTTACCCCTCTAATTCTTTCCCTTATTCCCCACGGTGGGGGAGAGTGAGCAAGCAGCTGTGTGGTGTTTGGCTGACGGCCGGGTTAAACCACAACAGCTGGAAAGCCAAGTTCTAGGAGCACAGGTAGATGCCCTCCTGCCTGGCAGGCTTAGGGACTGCTAATCTGTTCTCACACATGAGCAAAATAAAAGGACCCCTCAAAATTAAGTGAATTAATTATAACTTCAGTGAGGACTTAGGAATTCACTGCACAGCCACAGATCATCATTTAGGATGCTGATTCAGGCAAGCGTGCCTAGTTGAGTGCAAGCCTAAAGCTGAGCTCATGGGAGCATTCAAATGAAACCAAAGGAAAAAACTTGCTCTTTGTTAGAAATAACCAAGGAGCAAACAGTTTTAGGGGCTCAACTTATTTTTTTATATTTTTCAGTTGATAACTTTCTTTCTTTATTTAAAAATCCATTAAAGCCATAAAAGTATATTTGAAGTAATTTTTAGAATACCTTACCTACTCAGTTTTGCAGTTGTAAATTCCAAATTGTAATTGTAAGCAACTGTAAACAAGATGTCAAAAAATATTATTCTTTTCTGTAAAAGAAAAGGCATTCAGCAACCCATTCAGTAACGGTAGGGATAATGTTTGCTTTGGTTAAATGGGATGGAGTATAGAATTTTTTGGTTTTTTTAGAGAGCAGAAGAGTGATTAGGATTTGGTTTCTTTTATAATAAATACACTAATTTAAAAAAGAATGTGCTTGTTGAGGCAACAGATGAGAGAAAGTGGGCATGTTACCAACAGCATCTGTCTTATTATGCTATTTAAATATGCCCATTTCAGAGGCACTAGTTAGAAATGCCATAGTTGTGGTGGGTGGGATTCCTCTGAAATAGCTGTAAACCAATTTTACAGCTTACAGCTGCTGCACAGCCACAGCGACATCAACTCACACTCCTTTCTTTTTGAAGCTCATAGCCAGAAGTGTGAGCTCAGGACATGAGTTCTGCCTTTCATCACACCATCTCGGGCAGGAGAACTTCACCGGAAGGTGGGACATCTGCTGGCCCAGACCACTGCTCTCCTCACCTGGGCTGGCTGAGTCAAAACTGGCCCGGGTGGATGGACACACGCCGCACTTGCTGTCCCCAGTCTTGGTGCAGATCTGGGATGATGTGGCTGTGCAAGAAGGAGCTCTCTCTTACCAATAAAGGTTACTGATGAACCTGAGCTAAGTGCTTGGTAATCAAAGGCATGAATTGCGTGGTGACCGAAACCATGCTGAGTGAAGCTTGTCCTTGTCTACACTTGCAGTTTAAGTGGTCCCTGTGAGATTTTTAACCATACGAGGATGTTTTTCTTCTCCAGACCCATGCCCCCAGGAGCATGACTTGTGGGGATTGGTCCCAGGAGCAAGAGCAGGAGTAGCAGCAGTTAGGTTTTGGAGTTGGGGTTTTTTTTAACACTATTTCTGTTTTTAATGATCCTTTCTGGGAAGTCTCATAATGCTTTATACATGACAATAAACTTGTCTGCACAAGCAACCTGCAGAAAACACAAGTAGTATGCCAGTTTCATGCAGAAGAAATTGAAACAAATTAACACGGGGAACCTAAGCTGGGCCAGGAGCAGTGAAAGCTGGGTGCTCCGATCCTTCATCTGGTGGCTTAAGCCACTGTGCAAAACCAAACTGGCCAGCCTTTAAAGTTTCTTACGAAAGTTCACCTGTCCTCAAAATCTCACGTACCATATAACATAAATCACCTGATATTATCACTCTGTTTTACACAGGGAAGTTGGCAGAGGTGAGAACATACAGCAAGGCTTCCTAGACCAGTGTATATATCAGTGCCTCATCCTTCACCTATCATGTACCTGATTTTGGAAGATGCTGAGAACTCAACTGTAGCTGCAAATGAATGTCCAAAAACTGGGTGCCAGTATCTATGCTGGGTGCTTAAAAATGGAGCCACTCAAAATAATTTCGGGAGGGGAAAAAAAAATGGTGTTTAAATAATAGGGTCTCAGAGTAAGTCAGTGCTCAAGGCTGGTATAAGAGACCATGAAAAAGCTCAGCTTGTGAACCATCTCTCACCTGATCAGCCGCTTTGCTGCTGTAAGCTGGTGTAGCTGCTCTGAAATTGTGGCTGATGTTAGGTATGAATTGGGCTCGTTGTATCTTTAGTGCCAGTGTCACCAGCACCACTGCTATTCTGCTTCTGGCCTTCTTCTCTCAATGAGAGAAGAATTTGTTCTTGTATCTCCCTACTCCTGGAGATCACGTGACTTCTGTTCCAGCCTTATTACCACTGATGCTACTGCTGCTTCCCTGCGCAGGATGTGCCGAAGTCAGGCTACAGGGAGGATGCGACCTTTGCAAACACGGTGGTTCAGGGTGCAGGTTGGAGATAGGAATGTCTCAACCTCTACCTCTGGGAATCAGCCAGAGCGTACATACAACATCTAGCAGACTGGATCATTTCCCTCTGGTACTGCTATAGGGTACACACAGACGCAAGCTGTTAATTGACAGAAAGAGGCAAATTTGCCGCTGTGAATATATAGGTTTACTTCTGTGAACTGTAAATTTGGTTAAGTAACCTTCAGCATATACAGTGGAAGCTGAAAATCCACAGTCATCTTCAGGTTAGTCTGGTTAACCCGACCCTGGAAGAGGGAGAGATGTACAGGGAAGTGGAGATTACCCTTACACCAGCGTGTACCTGCCTGGCAAATGCCAGCTGGTAGCCACTTCTTACTGGAGAGCTGTGAGCTGGTGTTGGATGCAGTTTAATTAATCAGAGAATGCATGCCAAGCTAGCTCAATGTTGATGGTACTGCTCATTATCAGAGTCAGCAGAAGCTTTGGGGAGCTGCAAGGAACTGAATTTGCCTGCCCTGTTTATCTTGGTGAGCACAACACTGGCTTGTTTAAAAGGTGAGAGACTTCAGTTTGTTCAGCAAGTCCTTAGGCTCCTAGTCTAAGCTCGTAACTTGACCAATGAAAAATTAAAACTCTTCCTAAATTTCAGTTTGAGGGATTTGATTAGAAGAAACTGGGCATTTGGTGTTTTCCAAAACATGTATTCTGCCGTGGTGGAGTCTGAACTGGGAAAGGGGATCCAAGTCCAGCAGAGCACTGAGGTTGCCCTCAGTACAGATCCCGTACTCTGTATCTTCATGGCTTTGATCCCATTTATGCTGCCCACAAGTCTTGTGAAGGGCAAGAGCAAAACTCCACGTGCTCCAGACTGACATGTTTTGTGGCATTTCCTCCTGTTGGAAGAACAGGAACTGCAATGCTGGCATCGTGGAAATCAGGGAGGTCAGAGCAGGGCAAAAAAGGCTTGGGACAAGAGAGCAGAAAGATGGGAAACAGGAAAGGTAATGAGTTTGGATAGAGGAGACCTGTCTGCTTGTAGGTGTCATTGGGGAGAGGCGAGTGGAGGAAGGTAAAAGGGTGCACGAATGAAGGGAAGTGGGATGTGGAAGAGGTGATGCGGCTGCAAATGGTTTAGGAGGAAACGGTTCAATTCAACAATGGCGTTTAGGAGAGCAGAGACATAAGGGCAATGAAGACTTTATTTTATTTGAGTTCACTGATAAAGTAAGATATTTGGATGAGCCTGGTGAACCTGGTGAAATGCAGCCTCTGTTTTGAATTGTAATTTATACAGTGGACCCCACTCTGTGGCACAACCTCTCTTCTGGGTTAGAGTACTCAGACAGCGGATTGTTGACACGTGAGCTGAGAGGCCACGGTAAAACCACAGAGTCACAAATTTTGATGTTCCTGTACACTCATCATTTGCTGCCAACAACAGACTTTCTGGATAAATGCTTCTCCTTGAGGAAGGGGCTGGAAATTCCCAGTCAGTGTTATAGAGTAACATGGGGCAGATGATATTTCTTAAGGGGTGAAAGGGTTGGTCACCCACTGACACATATCTAAGTCTGGGTTGGAGGGAGAAATTACTTGCCAGGCCTCCAACTCCCGAAACTGAGTGAGCACAGATAAGGTGAAGTTTATCTGAACAGTGTTTGTTATCTTACAAAACTCTGTAACTCCTTGTTGCTTTCTTAAGAATAAAAATTATTATGGTTTTAAAAAATCCAACAAAATCCACGTCTTAGCTTGTTTTCTTAGTTTCTTCCCATTAATGTTTGCTTTGCTTTCAAAGCAGATGTGGTAATTCCTGCACCCTCATATTCACTACACTCCTTTCCTCTGCTCCACTTTTCAGTATAATTTTCCTGGTTGAAGGCTGAGGCTACAGACCAGCAACAATTTTTTTATTATTATTTTTGACCCCATTCTCTTTGCATAGCCACTTCCTCCTTCCTGGTTCAGTTATTTACTTATATGAAGCACTTTCTCTTCTTTTAAAAATCCATTTACCATGTTGATGTTGCATTATATCTACAAACATTTGAAGAAGAGTTTTCTTTGCTAATCTCTCTCCTTGCTCTTCACCTGTTTTTAATAACCTTGTGGCTGTTCAGCCAGGTAGCTACAGAGGGATTTTTTTGCTTCTTTATTTGGGGTGCAAGTTCTACAGCCACTGTGCATCACCCGCAGAAATTCTGGGCT